AAGCCAGCACGCTTCGCTTGACAATTTTTACTGTATCCAGAACACAAAATAACTGTTCGAGCCCTATTTTCGCATTCACAAATGCTGCTGGGCTGCGTTTTCCTAAGCTTTTGCTATGCATTAATCTTCGGGTTGAAGCATGTTTCCAGCGTTATCTAGGTTCAAAGATTGAGTGGACAGTGTTATATACACACACAGGCTCATGCAAATGCTCACGGTGTCAGGCAAGTGATTCTCTGAACTGAGTGGGCGGGTTGCCGCTAGACGTGACCCACACTAGTCAGGTAAAGCGGGATTCAGCACCACAGCTGCGCACCCAGTCCACCTTCGCTGTAGACACTGAAAAATTACCAATACGGAGAAGGCTGAAAGCAATCAAGACGACACTGCAATTATCCGGTAATCTATCGCAAAGGGGGCACGAGTAGCCACTGAGCTCCATTTAATGAGTGCCACACCAGGATTTGATCAGAATTTGTCCAAAGCACTGCGAGTCAAACTAAGCTTGGTCGCCCAGATTCAACGAAAGATTACAGCTCATCACGCTTCTTCACAAGACTACAAATCTTGGTAAATTTTACACGCTGGCCGCATGAGGAATCTTCGGACGTGGATGAAATATGAGCAAGCTAATTATCCTACCCCGTGGAATCCTGTAAACCACCTGAAGACTTCCCGTCACCAATACTTCCTTCCAGCTCAAAGATAGCAAACTGGAGTCGTAATTAGTCCACCACATCCATACTTTAATGAATATGTATCTTCAAAATTTTCAGCCTAGCCAGATGGGACCAGATCAGCCTCATGATGGTTACGTCCACATTGGTTGTTCCATAGCCCGACTTTACTGATCACCTTTCTTTCCAAAGACAAGTAATTTTGTCGAACTTTATACCCGTGTCAACTCCCGTCGAGGAGTGGTTCACTCAAACTGGAAAAACTCGACTTCGATTTAGGTAGTTGCAACTCTAACTCAGGAGCCCAGAAAATCACGTGGCTAAAATGCCTCCTTTCGGGCGAGGTTGCCTTGCAGAGGGAGAGTTATTCCGACCCTCCCTTGGTTTGGCCTGTCCTTGGTTTATAGTGATTGAACTATTTTCACTCTTCAAGGTTTTGTGCTTTCCACGGGTCTTCAGCACTCAGTTTTATACCCACGCTGACGTCGGTGTCCATTAGTGAACGAGACAGCTAGACAATTCGTCTCAGGTGAAACTGAGCTGATTGCAAGACAAGACTTCGTACCACTGAGTTGGCACGGAACGTCTCGAAGGTTAATCTGACACGCTTCGCGTTAGCTTATTGAACTAAACCCAAAGAGGTGCTCGTAACTGAATGATCCAGCTGCAAGCCAACTTTAACTCCGCTCTACATTTTCCGGTCCTTTCTCTTTGCGGCAATTCTTACACAAAATCTGAGCGAAACGGTTTGCCTGTTAGGAGGACGTCAAATTGGCGCAATCCATAAGCCAATGCACGAAAGGAAGAAATAACCAATACCTATGACATATGTGGGAGAGCATACCCGATATTCAGTAATTCTGCAACAGGAATCATAAGGTGATGGATTCGGCATTATGAATGATCCAAGACCAGGATGGACACCAAGTATGGAGCATAAAACGACCTCCAGAATTCGGCGGAAACACAAGTGTTTCCAGTCACAAACGCAGTAATGAACCAAGCTTATCTTGTAATTTCCTCGAAATAATTCTTGTGCGCGGGTAAATAAAAGGAGAAGGAATCTTGGTAATATAGACAGGGAAAAACCAAGCGGAGCTCATAAACCGTAGCGTTTCCTATAGTATCTAACGAGGTTTTTGTCCATCTGCGCTTTTTCTCAAGCTTGAGCGCTCTGTTGTTGTGCAAATAACCTCGACCGGTGTCCGAGTGATCTGAACGCCAGATTTGCAAACATAATGTCACCGGATCGAAAGCGGGTAGGATTGGGCGTTCTTGCGATGTAATCATCTCACATGCTACTGGTGGTGGTCCTGTGGAAGCGAAGCGACGTTAAGGTGTACAGCTGACAATTTCTTTATTTTTATTTTTGTATATGTAAAAACATTTTTGCTTTTGACCTAATTAGACGGAAAATGGTTGACTAAATGGTGTATATTACGGCGCTAGAACATTGTTATAATAGTAACTCAATGGACTGCACCTGTAATAGAAACAAGTGACAGTACATTAAACCTACCATTTTTGTTTTACATGATGACAGTTTAACCAGTTAAAAGCAAGTTATACGCCACTAAGAAAATAACCGTTTATTTGACTTTTTACTCAAACCTGAATGAGGTGAGTAATTTATAAATCTTATAGGTAAATTAGTTCTGCCACATAATTTATATTCTCTCCTGGAATTTGACAAGGGATTAAAGCGACCTATTGTTTAAACGGTAGACTGCTGTTGACGTTAGCAACGAATGGTGAAATATATTACTTGCTACAGAGGGGTTCGGTAAGTCAGTTGAGCATTTTGACGATCGTATTTATTTTATCATGTACAAGAGAACAGTGTGAGACGGACAAAGAGATATTTCGGCGTTTGACTTAATGTTATCTAGCTACCAGTAACAAGTAATTCCTACAGTCCCAACGAGTTCATTATCATTTGGAGTCCTGTGATATTTATCACGACTGCGTGACCAACTCTGAGTGTATATATGCGCAGTAGCGTTAGCTAAGTTATAGATTTTGTGCTTGTCACTCATCTGAAAGATTACCTTGCAAATGTCTCGTTGCCAGACTAGTCAATATGGTCGGTGCGGCTTCAGTGGCCTAGTTACAGAGCCTCGCAGCAGACTTTGCGTTCCATGTGTTGGTTGATAGTGCGCTACTTTGAATTTCAAGCTACGAGGAACTGACTTTTGCCTGACTTTTTACTTTTCGAAGGATTTTGGAGTGGTTTAGGTCGCACTGCTGCTTGTTTGGGACCAAAATGTTAGAGCAAATGAGGAATACTGATGAGGACGACTAAAGTATGTATTAATGCAGCCATGTGTGTTGGGTCCCTTTGCTACTCAAAACACACGGTTGTGCAAATATACTTTATAAAGTACCTGGCAAAGCATAAGCACACATTACGCGATATAAACCACGTGGTATTTACGCCGGCGTCACAAAGCTCTTGACCTCTAAACAATGCACATTAGCACACCACAGCACGGGCTAACCATAGGCAGCTGGGAGTGAACGTTGGCTCGCATTCGCTATGTACCTGTCCCCTCAAAACGGGTGACACAACACAACTGGAAAGGCCGAACAACGGAAGTGCACGCTTACATTCATGTGCAAAAGTCTTGAGATGGCCATGTTCGTAATCGCCATGCAAGCTGATTTGAACTAACGGCCATCATAGAAGCATGCGAGTTAAATATCTCATTTATGTAGCATTAGTATCCATCTTTTGTATTAGTGCCGAGCTTTCTGATTTTTAACCACCCAGTGTTTACGCAGCACTAATGCGTGACAAGCCTACTTCTTGTTTGACCAACTTTGCACTTGATCAGCATAGGTTATAGATCACATCTTTGTTCCCTTCTTGTTAATTTTGTCTTTCATCCTGATGGATGTACTTTAAATGTTTTCGTTGTTGATGATCAACCTAGACAACTTGCGATAATAAAATTTCGTTGCCCTTTCAGCGACTCCGTTGACTTAAGCTAATATGGCCTTATTTTAACTGCTGCATTAATTGAGGCGTGATGTAGTGCCAGACAGCCAATTTAAAGCCTTTGTTTAAAGTAGTTAATTTAGGCAGGTCAAATGGATGGGCTTTCTCTTTTTGTCTAAGCTGTAGTATGTTACAGCATGCTCGTGCTCGTTAGATATAACTTCTCACGCAGCTTCTTCTGTGGACTGAAATATTAACATAGCAAAATGCAAAATGCAATGTAATCCACAAGATTGGCTTCCGAAACTGAAGCAGACCATGTTGGAGAAACAGCAAATACACTTGGCACTACGCTACGTGAATACAGCCATTCCTCGACACGATCAGTATTTCTTGCTTCCTAAGCATATAGATACCAAAAAACATCAATTCGGCCTAAACACTACAAAATCCTCAGAAAGGCAAATAGTCAGCATGAACGTGAGTTCCTCGCAGCCTGAAATTCAAACCAGCATTCTATCAATAAGCACCTGGATCTCGAAGTCGGATACGAAGCTCTGTAACTAGGCCCGTTAAGCCGCACTGATGTTGATGACTAGTCTAACAACGAGGCGTTTGCGAGCCAATCCTTCAGCTCTTAGCACATCTCAAGACCCATACCTACACATCGTGGTACGGATCTTCTGTTAGCTGAGGTGTCTGAATAACCACTGTTTCTTGTGTGAAGTTAGCAGTCTTTTGTGGTGACATCCAATACGATGGCCAGTCGATACATAATGTCCAGGTGAACGTCAGCACGCATGTCCCATTGGTGACAGCCAGCATTTGGACCGGAAATTGTACTGCCACTAAAGATGCTCTAGCAATCATATGATTTACAATAGCCAAAGAGACTGTGTCAATTTTTCTGGAGTTGGGACAACAGAAAGAGGAAGGAAAAATGTTGGCAGACGCTGTAAATCCAAGTCAGTGTGGGAAGCAATTTTCGCATTTGCGTCCCTCACCACTTTAATCTCTACTAGCTGAGCAAACCTTAACAAAATAATAACATGCTACGCCTCATAACGTGATGTATGCATTTATCTTTTTGTTGTTACACAGTGGATTAAATCTTATCGAATTCCGCATCAAGGTAAATAGCGCCATAGTACATTTGATGCTGTTCTTCTTAGGCAACAAATTAACTCAAACACATCTCACCATCTCCCTATATAACTTCGGTTTCTAATGTTCAGCATTGCTAGCAAGGGATTTGCATATTTAAGCGGAAAGATCAATCCCATAGGAAATCAAACTTTTCCGATGGATAGCACCTAGCATAAACCTCAAGCGATTTCCGTCATTCCACTTTGTACAAATTTGATCTACCCTCGTTGCATTTGTAGACTCTTCTGAAACCACTGAAATAAGAGATTATGGAGAGACAAACCAACATGCCTACGAAGGACACGATCTGGGGCATCCAATATGGAAGTTATTTCCTGAGGATCTGGACCAACGCCATCAAAGTGTCAGCTCGTATGAGACAAACAAACAAAGCTCTCACATAGCTGACGACTATGACCGTTTACCATATGATGTAAAGGAAACTAATGACAATTACGGAGTAAACAGCGCGGAAGGTAGGACTGGCGATTTGAAGGGGAATTTTGTTGATAACGACCTGAGTGAACCAAACGACTTGAGTTCAACAGCTCCTGAATCCCCGAGATCAAATGCAGAGATGTTCCAGTCGATAGCGAAACAGAGGGAGAATTTGCCATGCTCATCAGCCGACATAAATTTTGGTGCATTACAACAGAGGAATATGCTTAATACCATCGTTCACCCTGGTCAGCCAGATGGACGAATTCACTGTCATTCAGCCCATGGGTATGGAACAAAGAAATCTTCTCACTTTACAAGACCTGCATCAAGTGGGGGCGAGCAAAACGATGTCAGACCTCGATTCATGGATTTACATAGTCCAGTAAAACTTCCTGAGGTGAGCGACGTCATACCTTTGGTGCAGTCTACCGTTGAAGTGCGACCTCCGCCCCACAAGCATAGTATACCTGAGTTGGATGGACACCAACAAAATGCGTACCCCCGAGATAAGTTAAACGATAGGAATAGATCGTTATTAGATTTGGGTCCATATACTCAAGTGGACCAGCCGGAAGAACGCTTGCGCGAAGGCCACGTAATTGTGATAAATGAAACTGCCGACTCAGAAACCTCAATGTACGCATGCGCTGGGGGACCAAGCGATGATCCTCTAAGCGTTATAGGTGAAATAGTGGAAAGAACCTACACGACGGATACAAAAGATGATACAGAAACAAACCAAAAGATTGATGAAATCAAGCTCGATCCAACCGGAGGCAAGCATTTTGAATCAGACGAGAGACAAACAGGCAAGCGCTCTACATCTCTGTCATTAGTCACCATAAACAAGCCTGAAGTTGAGGTAACGCTTACAATGGAAGAGATTGCAGCTTCTGTTAATAATTTAACACGTCACTCTCTGACGGAAGAAGGCGATCCACCAAGGTCGCTGTTCAGTGAAGGAGATGCAACGAATTACCTGGCCACCCTGAATCAACCACGTAGTGTTTTTGGTTATACACCTAAAAGTTTACAACATACCGTCGCTTCGAATAGTGATCTCTACGTCTGCAATGGCGTTCATCAACAGACCGAAACACCACTTGTGATAGGAAAAAAGGAAGAAACAAAGGGTACACAAGACGAGCCATGCAACATTGACATTTCCTGGGAAGGTGCCATTTGCACTCCGAATCTAGATGAACATGTTATAAGAAAACTAGAGGAGTCAGTAGTCCAGATGTCGAAGGTGGGTTTGGTGTACACTGCTAAGAAGCAGCGGGTATGGGGAACGAACAGTGAACCGCAGTCCCCCGATACCATGCATGATGATGTCCAGCAGCGGAAATCAGTGTACACAGCCGGGTCGATTCAGGGCAAAATCGCTCTAATTGGAAGTCAAACGTGCTCCCCAGCACCTCCCGAAAAAGTTGCACTTGGCGTGACAAAATATCTGCGCGTACTACAGTCTGCCGATGATTTTGACGTTCTCGCAGCTGAAGGTGAATCCAACCAATCTATGTCAGAATACAATGTTTTGCACCAGGTTCAGAAACAGTCAAGTTTACCATGTGTTGTTGTGGACACGCCAGAGAATGAGGACCGCGTAAGTGTTTCATCAGATGGATGTACAAGTAGTCCACAGTTTGGGAGTACGAGTCAGAACACCAATGATCCGCATTCTAACAATGTGCCCGTCAAGGTGATATAGAACACTGGGAGCCTAAACAAGAGATGCAAGTAACCGCAGCCTATGTATTTAACGGTTTACATCCAGCGCATTAAGCTTAAGGGACTCGCTTTTCAGAAGCCCGTCGCTTGTATGGTATTTTAATTTGCATTAGTATATACCAATGACTCTAATGCGTATAGTGAACAAAAGAAGGCGTGATTCCGCATTAGTACTACCCAGGTAAGCGCAACAAGTGCTGCGTTTGACTTTGTTTTCCTCTTTCACAAAATTTGTATACGTCTGACTATTCGTACAGGATCATTTTCCGAGGTATACAGAGGTTTAACTGCCTAGTTTTTGCTTCTTTTACTTTGGATTTTATTCAGCATTGATAAATATTCTGTTATGAAATGAAATATAATTTTAGTTTCCTTCAGCTATCGTGGTGCCCATAGGACGCTGCTTGGATTCATAGTGCATTAAATGCTTTGATAAGCTCGTTTAACCAACAGAAGCAAGTGTTCAGAAGCACGGGGACCAAAAACTGCCTGCATTCTACACCCTTACGCATTGGTTGCTTTTTACCTCGAAACATTGCGGTCGGCAGCTAAAAGGCCGCGCTTAGCTGCATAGCACAACTTAAAGGTAAGATGAGAAACTGATGTTGCTGAAAGCAACAAGCACAATAACCATTTCCAACCAAAAGTAATATTACAGACGCATATTGTTGTGTCACATAGCCCAATGTTCTCAGGCACAGACTGGCATCAGTCGAGTTGCTGTTTTGTGCCACGCAAGAGTCAGATTAAATTCGTACGGCTGATGATCTCCTAAAAGGTGAAACTGCCGTACAGTGCTCTTTGGAGCGTGCGCTGGTTGTTTGAATGATTCTATATTGATGGATTTCTGCCTATAAAACTTAACATGATGTCAAAGATAGAAATGAACCAACAGGCACCAAGTCATACATATATTTCTATGGGGAAGTTGACTGCTAAAACATGAGTAGTTGGAACTCAATGCAATATAGGCTTAGCCAGAACTAACCATTTGCAAGTAGTAGGAGAGCTAGTTAATTTTTGTGCTGATCCACCGCAGTTAGACTCAAGCCGACAGCCACCACACATCCATCAGAATGTTAGACGGTCTTTTCGTCCTATTTGGAGTCGTCCGTAGGGCGCACCCGCGGTCTAGCGGTTTACTGTATGCATGCTGGCTATCTGTCTGAGACTGGCTGTGAGGAAAGTTAAAAAGCAACTATCCCCCTACTACTTACAAGCAATCAGTAGCCGCTTTAGCAGCTTGCAGGCTTCATCGGTTGGTGGTGACTAAAGCAAGTCGTGGCAATGGGGGCCGCACTATATCGCAGTTAGATTGAAGTCATGGCGGCACGCTGCTATCGCACCCAGCTCAGTGATATAAGTCGGAGGTCGCAAGAGTGGATTCATGGTATCCAAGCTGGCAGGATTCGGCATGTGTGCACTACTACAGGGACGCAATGGGACGAAACGGCCTTCAAGCGCTTTCCTAAATATGTGGTAACTGTCAGTCTAAGGTTAACTACGACGAAGCTTCACAAAACAGGACTAATCAGTTGTGAATTTCCGTACTTTGTGTATGACTTTTGTACATGGTGAGGATTATTGAAGGCTTACATTAATTAATGGCTAATTGATTACATGCCTAGTGTTGGGGAGAAAAAGGAACAAAAAGTAGCAACGGCATATTGCTCTAATTTATAGCTAATCATGACGAGAATGAGTGCGTCAACACCCAGAGGTCTTACACATTGAACCAGACAGGATTAAACACATGAACATTGCGAATTTATAAGTTTGCTTTAGGTACTTTGCCTCGCATTCACCTCTTAGCCTCGCAGGCTCCTAGATATCTGGAAAAGCACCAGCTATCCGTTTCGAAATTCCGGGTCCCGCCAGTATTGCAGGTCCTTTGGACCCCTCCGATTTCCGGCCCGTGACTACTGTACATGAGCAGCTTATACCACTATGTCGTGGTTGACAGCGGCGGATCAATAAAAAGGAGTTAACTGGGGTATGGCACAGCGTTTCCGCTAATGTTAGGCCAGCTACAAACTGTGCATAGGACTGGGTTGGCCACAGGGCTGCCACTTGTTGCACTGCGACCGCGTAGTATGGAGCATAAGAAGCAGTAGGGAAGAATTTGGATGCTTAATGTGTCATGGGGACCTTGAAGTGTAGATTGGAATCAAAGCTACTCAATATTTCTTAGTAGTGCAGAACTAAGTTTGTCTGATGAGACTGGGCCGTTCCCCGTAATTCAGCCACGAGTCGCACTATTGTCAGTCGCACTTTGCGTTATAAGAGGAAAATCGGACATGTGTAACGCTAACTCAGCTATCCAATCGGTAATTCGTGTTGGACAGCAATTGTATGCACACAAGTCCCTTGAGTTTAGTGCGCGAAATGTCATGTGCGGACCATGAATTTTGGCGCACCCATGCAACAGAATCACCAGATTTCAAAGCACTTGCCTGAAAAGTAGTCGAGAGGGATGATCCAGAGCCACCCACATTAAGCAGTCGAACGATCGATGGCTTCGCCACGCAGGACCTCAATAAGCTTACTTTTCAGTGATTGCGGACTGTCTTTGACAAACGTAGGTGACTTAGCTGTGAAACGATCGATGTCTACCGGTGTGCCTTGGTATATGAAATAGAACAAGCAGGCAAACACAAAGTTGGACTTGGAGAATCCGCTGTGTGGTTGGCTTGCTTTAAGCAATCTCTTTTGAGACCTCGATTCACTTGAGGTGGACCTCTGTCATTCCGAGCACAAGCACGGTATGTGAAATAGAAATAAGTTGGTGTTGCACATCCCAACACTGGCATTCCACGACCGTGGTTTCGTCCTGGTTTGGACTCATTAGGTGGAGACAGCCATGGCTGGGGTGGAAACCAGAGCCTAGTGGTTGTTTGTTGCCAGTGTTGGGACGAGCAACACCAAATGATTTCCATTTCACATACCGTCCTTGTGATCGGAATGACCGAGGTCCACCACAAATGAACCGAGGTCCCAGTAGAGGTTGCTTGTACCAACCCAACCACACAGCGGATTCTTCAAGTCCAATTTTGAATTCGTTTCCGCTGCATCAAGCGTTGCTCCTGAATCTCAGTGGCATGGTGCTTATGGCCTCAGGCGTGAACCACTAGGCTCTGATTCCCGTCCCAGCTCAGGCTGTCTCCAAATGATGAGTCCAAACCAAAACGAAACCGCGGTCCTGGAGTGCCAGGGTTGGGATGAGCAACAGCAAATTATTTCCAAACCAGCCAAACTGTAAGCGACCGTGGATTGGTACCGAATCGACTATGCTAGAGCTAGGGTATCACGATGGATATTAAGTAGGTGCTTAATTTTTGGAAAGTTAACGACTAAACACGGTTATAGTCAGTGTTTCTGTAACCCAAAAACAGGCTTCTAACCAAAAGTTTAGCAAAAAGGCATTACTTACCATTAGGCCCTCCACACTATATTTTGCAATCTCTGTGGCACACAGAGTCTATAGAATTCCGTATATCACAGCCCAATATTGACACCATTCGCCCGTGGACCAATTTAGTATTTTATTCATGGATAACCGAGGATAAGTGATTTGACATACACGAGGTTAAACTGTCTCATGTTTCGGCCAAGATGTTCAATGTTTGCAATGCCGTTCTGCGTGTGTCTAATTGGGATCTAACACGGTCAATCAGGACACATAAACAGTCAATCGCGTTGACTGAAGTTAGGAGTTTACTAACAATTGTTACAGATAGTACTTATGAGTAGCAGGATTTAGTTGTAATTATGATAAGGCTTTCATCCCAATAGTTCACCAGTTACATAGCAGAGCCTAGTCCGGAAGAGCGCCAGACGCGTTTCGCCCTATTGGGGCTCGTCTGGCACGCATTCCCTCGGTCCTCTAAGGAGGATCGAACCCATGACCGCTAGAGGCAGATGCCAACTAGCCAGCAGCTTAAGCCACTAAGCCATGGGGGACGTTGGCTGGGCTACATAATTTGCAAACTAATTGGGATATAGCACCACCTATCTACCACTGTCACTGACAGTGGTAGATGCCTGCTAGGTGATGACGTCCTCTCACTAGACGCTAAATCCATAGCATTTGAAACTAGGAGAGATGCCGAGTGCGCCAGTCAGTAGTACGACTCATGGATGAGTTACGGGGCACGGCTCATTTTCATCAGACTCACTGTATGGAAGGAAATAGAAATATCTTACTTGTCCAAATAATCTGATGAAAGGAATATGTGCCCAGCCTTTAACTGACCCAAATTGGCTGGCATTGCTAAAAATCAGTTGCGGGTTTCTTGGTGTGGGTGTAAAGGTGTTGAGATCGCTTAGTAGAGAAAAAAGCAGATAAAATATTTGCAGTAGAACAAAATTATTTACAAAATACTGCTAATAACTCCAATCAGCTGATAAAAAAAGTAAGAAACGTAACTTTCAACAATTATGACAGCGAGATAAACACAAAATGTATTTGTGTTTAACTACGTGTCTTTTTAACCGTTGAGTCTAATCAAAGTGCTGTTATGTATTGGCACCACAATACATTCGCGATAGCCGAGTTGACTTGGCCGCGGACTAGTCTATTCCTTAACGTTTAAGAACAATTCGCTCACAAAGTTTTCTCAACCAATGTGTGTAAAGAGAAGAAGTTTCAACTTGAACTTCTAATAACATCCTGTAGAAACAATTAAGTGCTTCACTAGTTAAAACCTGATTGTCCACCGTTACCTGCAACAGCTTTTTCATGTCGTATCCATGCTTAGATTCGTATATTCACGAAGGTTTCTTGTACTTCTGGCCTTGCTTTTTTAATCAACATGGGGCGGATATTAAACATACGTATAGTGGGTGTGCACTTACTCCACACAATTTATTTTGGAGATCGATTCTGCTTGCAGTGCGGCGTTTTGCATAAATTCTTGTGACTGGATTCCTCACTAGGTAGGTATGAAAAACTAGCTAATTCACTTGAGTGAAAACACATGAAGTGTCCAGTTTATCGCAAGCGTATATTATCCTTTCATGGGAGTCAGCAGTAAGGAACAGGACAGAACGCCAAGTGTGAAGTTCCTGCCTGTAAGTACCCATACGATTTAGTCATTCGCGTCTAAACACGAATAACTCTTAATCAAGTAAAGCTATGGAATCGTAATAAGTAGCGTGGATCTTGTCACTGATATACCTTAGTCCTGCTAAATGCCCCAATCCCTAACCTTATGTATGAACAGCTTTTGTTGGTGAAATATGTAGCAGTCTGGGGATACCACGGTTTGCATGTGAAGGAATTCTAAATAAATTAGTAGTTACTTGTACAATTAGGCGACCGGTGCAAATTGCTAAACTGGTTGTTGAGTTTGATGGCTTGAGTAAAGCACCGCCTACGT